GTTAGAGAGTCCTGGGGCATTGACGCATAGTTCTCGTTCCCGTGGGACATCTGTGATAGAAACTATCAAACGTTACCTAGGTCCCAAATCATCGTACACCGAACGTAATTCAAAAAGATTCAATTAATCTAAATTCAATGGCTAAGACGATTTATACAAACTCTCATTCCCTATTTTATCCCCTTAGGGTTGGAAATGATCAAAATCCTTTCTTAGCGGATGCCTATGTGATAACATCTATCTGCATGTCAAATTTCAATCCGATCGATTTAAAACTGACAAAGCCTCATACAAACTTTCATCCCCTATTTTACCCACTTGGGGGTGGAAATTATCAAAATCCTTTCAAAGCGGATGTTTACGTCATTACATCTATCTGTATGCCAAATTTCAACCCGATCGGTTTAAAACTGACAAAGTCTCATACAAACTTTCATCCCCTATTTTACCCCCTTGGGGGTGGAAATTATCAAAATCCTTTCTCAGTGGATGTTTACGTCATAACATCTATCTGCATGCCAAATTTCAACCCGATCGGTTAAAAACTGACAAAGTTTCATACAAAATTTCATCCCCTTTTTTACCCCCTTGGGGTTGGAAATGATCAAAATCCTTTCTTAGCGGATGCCTACGTTATAACATCTATCTGTATGCCAAATTTTAGCCCAATCTGTCTAGCGGTTTGGGCTGTGCGTTGATAGATCACTATGTCAGTCAGTCAGTCAGTCAATCACCCTTGAATTATATATATATAGATGTTCAGGCATAAGCCGGTAAGCGAGCAGACGGATCACCTGATGGTAAGCAATCGGCGTCGCCCATGGACACTTGGAACACCAGTGGCGTTACAAGTGCGTTACCGGCCTTTTGGAGATTATGAGTTTGAGGATCGTTGGGGATTCAGGGCCTTCCCTGAATCCCTTTAGGTTTTGGATTTGGGCTTCCAGTAACCTTACTCACACGACGAAACACAACGCAAGCGTTTGCTTCATGTCGGTTTTCTGTGAGCCGTGGTATCACTCCGGTCGAGCCGGCCCATTCGTGCCGAAGCATGGCTCTTCCACACTTGAAACTTTATTACCTTTTTTATTAGATTTGGAAGAATTTATGTTGTCTAACAAATCTATACAATGGTATTCCCTCGTTATATACTGATCAGATTTTGATTCAAATCATTGCCATAATTATAATAGTTAAGCAAATCAGACAGGGTATATTTTGTAAAGTTACCGCTCTTAAAATAGTCTAACATTTTTGAAGTCACAGTGTTGTGCAGCTTCTCCAGTTTTAGGTGCCTGCCCTGTAGTTCAAGGCTTCTTAATTTTAGGGTTCCTATAATTCAGGGCCCCTGTACTTCAATAATTTTAAGTTCCTGGCATGAACAGGGTTCCTGTAGTTGTTAGAATTTATATCTTTAACATGTAATACAGCAAATACTTCGATAACTACGCCCGTATCGCCTAGTAACGTTCAAATTATTATAAAATGTTTGTATTCGCATCGCGCGCGAGGTCTCACGTTACTCACGTAGGATACAATGCCAACTATTAATCTTTCGTGAACTTGGTCTTCCTCTGCGTGTTGGTATGAGGTTATATTATAAAGATATTTAGGTATTTATTTATTTCTTTTTTAATTATGGCCGTCCTACTGCAGAGCAAATGCCTCCCTAACATGCAGCTGTAGCCAAATGTCATTAGCGCTTGTCTATATGTAGAATAGAAAACAAAATTATATGGATTTGACGTAAATTTTTACACTTGTCAGTGTCATCCCCATACATTTTGATTTCTACTCTCTCTGTAGACAAGCGCTAAAGTGGGGTTTGGCTAAAGACCCTGCTTCCACTCGTCTCTTCTTAAAGCTGTCTGTGGGCAATCCTTCTCAAAGACGTCAAGTTCATCCCGCCATCTTCTGAGCCAATAACATCGATACAAGAAAATATTGAGGAAATTCATTGAATAGATTATTTGTATGATGATATTTAATTTATATTTAGTTATTTATTCCCACCTAAGATGAAGGGAATGCACTAAGGTAAACCCATGCCACAATGGCCTTGAATCGTATACAATTCTGGATATTTCACAATAAAACCTACGTGTTGTAAATAACGTAAATTACTTATAAACTTACTAGCTTTTACCCGCGGCTTCGCTTGCGTCACAAAAGGATAAAAAGTAGCCTATGTGACATATACCAATACATACAGCGCCATCTATACCAATACCTACTTTTGTTTTCCCTCGGGAATATCAATTTTCCGGAATAAAAAGTACCCTATTATTTAATCCAGACTTCTAACTTTACGTCTACAAAAATTCAAAGCAACCGGTTTAGTAGTTACGGCGTGAAATCGGAACAAACAAACAAACAAACTCACTTTCCGATTTATAATATTAGTAAGGATATACTTAATGCAGTTTAGATTTATCATTTTTTAAATTAAAAATATCCGGGATTGGACCGGTATCAGCTCTGTCGAACAACTTTTCCGCATGACCAATGACAAGGACCAATTCGAAAAGCTGACGGCCAACCTTCAGGAATGAAGTGGCACCACAAGAAGAAAAAATAAAAAACAAATATTAAAACTCTTACACAGCCTGTCAGTTGTTATTGTCAGATATAGAGGTAATATAAAAAAGAAAACTGTTAAGGCGTAGTAATTATTTACGTATACATAAACATAAACACATAACGTCACGCCTTTTATCCCCGAAGGGGTAGGCAGAGGTGCACATTACGGCACTTAATACCACTGTACAATGTAACACCCACTTTTCACTATTTATGTTATGAGTCCCATGTAATAGGGGGTGAGCCTATTGCCATATACCGGGCACATTTCCAGACTCCGTGCTACTACTAAGGTTTTTACAAACCCAGTAATACTGTGCCGGACCCGGGAATCGAACCCGAGACCCCTTGCCCGGCAGTCGCACTTGCGACCACTCGGCCAATGAAGCTGTCATTATTTACGTATCTAACAACAAAAAGTTGAATTAATTGATCATGTCCGTATGGACTGCCGTAATTTATTACCTAATATTTCGTAAAGATAAGTCATTTTGAGCAATATCAACTCGAGATTAAAATACTCTTGTCTATATGAACATAGAACCTATTGGCTATGTGCAAGGCGAGTAGTGGCGGACAGATAACGACCACAGCGCACAGCACGGTAGAAATTGGACCATCATGCCAAACCTAGCGTGTAGGGCATCCTTAAACCTCCGGGCCACGGCGACATTATTAACACCTAGTATACATATAACCAACAAATATAAACTTTTTGTAGGAAGCAATAAATTATAGATGTAGGAAGATGAATAATTATACGTATTTTACTAAAACAAGTTACACAAAACACGTTTTATTACATAATAACTTTGATTAATTAAAAACCATAAGTATGTATATAAAATTTCAGGAACTTTAAAAAACTGGTTATATATATTTTTTTAAACCAAAATTATACCTTAGTTGCGTTATGTCATATCAGTTTGATTCGATTTTTATATCTGCAAACAAAAAACTTGATTACACCACCCATTGACGTACTTATATCAAATTCATAAACACGTGGAAGGAATATTAATTGAAATAGGTAATTAACTGTACAATAAAATAAAAATACATATAAACTAACCTTTGCCCGCGTATCTTTTAAATTTTTTTTAAATTGTCAGTCTCTGCTCTACCCCTTTGAATATTATAAACCATGATCATCTTTAAAATTACTTGTACTTGCAAACTATAATTTTCATCAGAAATAATATTTAGGTTGACTAACATAATAAAATCACAGGAAAAGTGAAAACTGTACATTTAATATCTTTTTTAAAGAATACCTGGTTCATGATCTACAATCGATACCGAAGCCAAAAATACGGTTTTTAGAATTTTTGTCTGTTTGTCTGTATGCTTGACCGGGCTAAATTCAAAAAGAACTGTACCGATTTACTTAAAATATTGCATGAATATTACTTAAAGGTCGGGTCAACACATAGATTACATAATATCACGCTATCCCCTACGGAGAGGAGTTGTGAATCACTATTCCACTCGGACGAACTCGCGGGCACAGCTAGTAAACAAATAAATAAACTACTTCAAGTCCTACAAATGTTGCATCTTAACGTCATTTGGTAACACATAGATACCTACATTGAAAACAATAATAAGTAGTATGGTAGGTATATAGAGCTAATATTACAATATTACTACACCACATTATGTATCCATAATACATCATTTGTAAACAATAGGGCGTGACGTCATCAAACAAAGAACTGATTCTCAGAACAATTGATTGATCAATTTGATGGTTGGTACCATAGTAAACACAGTTACAAATCAAGCTAAACAATACCAGTTTATCATAGTCTCGCAGTGTGTGATCTTTCAGTACATTCAAAGGTCAGTTTATACTGGTTTTTATAGCACAATGTGCTGCCAGTCCATGGTATCTACTTATTCAGATGCACGCAACGGAAGATTATATGCAGCTGTTCAACAATAATATAAATACAATGGAAACAGGATACAATGTTAATGTACGATTATTTACTACATTATTATAAGTTTTGCATTGTTGAACGAGAAAAACCAAAACGGTATTTGACAACTAGGCAAATTCAATACTTTTTTCGAACTGTCAAAAACGACAGTTCTCTAAGAATTTTGTACGATGCTGTGAATTGTGACGTCACGATTTTTTTGCGTTAAACAGCGTACTTATTAATTAAACATTTTTCCAAAATACTATAATTAAGTTGGTCATAAAATCAAATAATGAAAGTATGATTATTTTTTTATATTTTATTGTATTGAAATAATTTGTTTTTGATTAAGGAAATTACTCAATTATGTGGTTGTATGAAAAGGATCTATAGAGATATCCTTGGCCTATTTTATCATCGAAGTGTCTATACCAAAATCCCATTACATATTTTTATAACGAAATCTTTTTCTTTATTTTAAATCCTATTTTGTTTTATTACAGAATCATGCCTGAAGTAGACACAAGCAGGGAGCTGGAGGTGTTCAAAGATTGGCTTCATAAGCAACCTCATTTACCTCATGTAGTCGGTAAGAATCACTTTACCTATCAATTACAATAGGGTAGTTACCAGGGTATGAAAATTAAAAATCTAATTAGTCCGTCAGTTAGATAATAAAAATATTAGACACGTATTTTTTCATATAAAGTTGCAATACTTAGATAAAATGGCGCTAAGTTTAGGAGTGACATATGGTTACGTCATAACTTGCTAAATGTAGCACGCTGCGACGTCACACGATATTTCAAATTGATATATCGTCGAAAGTATTTAATATAGTGAGAAAAGAAAAAATACGTGTTTAAAATTTTAAATTATTGAACCAAATGGACATTAAAATAAAATTTAGGAAACTACCCTATTTTAAACTAGTTTCATTGCTCATACAGCATACTGTACTCTTCATCTGCATCCCTCGTTTTATCCAATACTGTAATACGTTTTTAATAAACAAGAAATTTAAGAATCTACCTTAAGTTTCCTTGTCATTGCAATTGAGGAGTAAATTCTCCATGCTTGGCTAGTATATCACTACGTAGTATAAAACAAAGTCGCTATCTGCCGTCTGTCTCTCCCTATGTATGCTTAGATCTTTAAAACTACGCAACGGATTTTGATGCGGTTTTTTTAATAGATAGAGTGATTCTTAAGGAAGGTTTATATGTATAATACATGCATATTGCACCAGTGCGAAGCGAAGCCGGGGCGGGTCCCTAGTTATTAGCTAGATATTGCAGTTTAGCATCATCAGAAGTTATCAGACAGCCTTGCAGCTCTTGGAAAATTATGTTACCGTGAGCTATATACATGTATTAAGCTATTTTATATACCTATAAGATACCCAGTTAATAGTTTGAAATTTTAAAGATGAACATCCAATGTACAAAATAGTATGTCGATTCCCGGGTCGGGCAAAATATTACTAGGTTTTTAAAATAATCTCAGTGGTAGCACGGAGTCTGGAATTGAGCCCGGTATATGGCAATAGGCTCACCCCCTATTACATGGGACTCATAACATAAAAAGTAAAAAGTGGGCGTTACATTGTACAGTGGCATAATGTGCCTACCCCTTCGGGGATAAAAGGCGTGAGGTGTAATAGTTCCTTTGTGCGTGTCATAGTATACAGCATACGAAGGCCAATGTGAAACAGTTAAACATTATGATTGACATACAATGTACAAACGATGCTTACGTAAATTTAAAAGAGCTACCATTTTGTTGAGAAACTTCTCTTGGTTATGGAAATGTAGTTACATATTATGATATGACCACTGATAGGCCTGTTAAGTAAAATGTGGTTTAAACTATCAATTTGTAACGTCACGTAGTACCTATCTATCTGCAAAGCGGATCTAAGTAGATTTAGTATGTAGCAATGGCAAATTAAATAATTGATTGCAGATGAAGTTGCTTTTAACTGAATTGATTCATATTTTGAGCCATTTTATATTAAACATAACATAACATAGTTGCGCGCGGGCGCGTGTTATCGTAAGACGCGCATATTGTGGCAATTTTGAACCGGTTTGACCACTTGCGCTCGACCGCGCATATGTTTAATTGTTTAGAAATGCTTATCAGTGATGGATAGTTGCGAACTTGAATTCGAACCATCAATTGAGATAGCTATTGAGAATAATGAAATAGGAGCGTGTAGGGAGACTATTAGTAATTGTGAGAATATGGAGATATTAGAAGAATCTATACAAAATATTGAAGAAACTGACGGAGTGAGATGCAGTAAAAGAACTAGACAGATTGATCACGATGAAATGTGGACAAATATAACGAGGCGGGGTAAACGTTTTGCCCGAACAAGCCAGGTGTCCGATGAGATAAGAATACCTGAAGATAAAATAGAAATTAGTATAACTTCTGCAGACAAAATACCAAAACAGTTTGGACTTGCCAAGTTGTTAAAATTAGAAAACATCCCGGACATTACAAAAATTAAATACATTAACGCATTCAAAGTTCTTATCCAATTTAGTAACGAAGAAAGTGCAAATAAACTGATAGAATCTCAATATTTTAAAGAAAAAGGACTGAAATGCCAAAAAACACTAGAGATAAAAGAAAGTTATGGTGTTATTAAAGATATAGACTTAGATTCATCGGAGGAAGAAATACTCGAGGGTTTAACTTGTGATACTGAGATAACAGGTATTAAGAGATTAAAACGCCGTAACACAAATAGTGGCCTGTGGGAACCTGGAGAAACAGTCAGAATAACTTTTAAAGGATCATCCTTACCTGCCTACGTATACATATTTGAAACTAGGATAAAAGTTAGTCCTTATCAATTTCCGTAACTCAATGTTCTCGTTGTTGGAGATTCGGGCACACAGTCCGAGTTTGTTCATCTGTTAAAGAGATCTGTCCTAAATGTACCCAGTCTCACCCCAATTGTGACACTGTAAGCTACAAGTGTAATAATTGCTCTGGTAAACACATGGCACTGTCTCGTACATGCCCAATATATTTAAAAGAAAGGAAAATAAGGGAATTAATGGCGGAGTTTAATTGCACTTACAAAAGAGCTCTAACACTTTACGTCCCCCCTGAACCAAATAACGTGCAAAAGTTACAAGGAAGAGTACAAGATACGGAAATAGAACATCAGGTGTTAAACCAAAGTACAGACACAGAAAAAAGATCTGCATCACAAAATAAAAACACATATGCTGACACAGTTAAGAAAGTAAAGAAGAAGGCTACTATAACACAAAAATACTGTAACAAAAAGGAGAACGCGAAGAAAAAACAGAAATCAGATACGGTGTTTAACTGGACGACTTTGACAGACAGTGAGTCCGAAATATCACACGAAAATATAGAAAAAGCAGATGAATTAAATAAGAAAAAGAATAACAATAACTGGAAATTGGTATGGATTAAATTAAAGGAAATAATTTGGGATAGTGAAGCTAGTTTGGAGAATAAAGTGATGGATTCTGTGAAAGTATTATTTGATTGGGTTTCATCTTTTATTATGGAGTTTATAACAGAAATGCCTATTATGACCAAAATTAAAAAATGGATAACAACAACAGGCACATAAACATCAATGTGTTACAATGGAATGCTCAGAGCTTACAACCAAAAATGATGGAATTTGAAAGTTTACTAAATCAGGAAAAAATTCATATAGCTGTAATCAGTGAAACTTGGTTTGATCCTGAAAAGGTTATCAGACTGAGTGGATACAACATATTCAGAGCAGATCGTGATGATGGTTATGGGGGTGTAGCTGTCTTTACTCATCACTCTATTAGAGCTACACAATGTAATGTAAACATAACAAATTCGCAAATACAAATTATTAAAATTAAATTACTCAACTGCAATCATCTAGAAAACGTCGTTTCTATTTACTGTCCCTCGTCAGTAAATACATGCAGAAATGACTGGGATGAAGTGTTCTCATTAGCTGAACATAAAGCTCTCGTCGCAGGCGATTTGAACGGCCATCACTCAAATTGGTCTTCCAGGACAGATACAAGAGGCAATCAGATCTTTGATTCAATAATGGACAGCAACCTTTGTATACTCAATGATAACTCTCACACACGAATAAAATTAGTCAATGGAGCTTTGCAAAGTTCCTCCCCAGATACAACTTTTGTGTCAACAGATTTGGCTTTGAGATTCAAATGGGGGGTCATGAATGAAAATCTGGGGAGTGATCACATGTTAATTAAAATTAGTATGCAAAACAATAAATCACACAGCTTTAAAAAACGAAGAAACTTCAAAAGAGCGGATTGGCAAAAGTACAGTGAGAAAATAGAGGCACAAATAACACGCTTAGAATTGCCAGCAGATCACCAATCCGCATATAATAAATTCATGGATACTATAAATGCTGCAGCCGATGAATTCATTCCTACGATTAAACTGTGCATGAATCCTCTACAATCAAATAAATTCATACCAAAACCATATTGGAATCAAAATCTATCGCATATTGTTGCACAGAGACGACTAGCATTATCCACTTTCAGAAGAAATCCGACCCCACAAAATCTTGAAGTTTTGCAGAAAAAAGTGAGTGAGGCACAAAGACTTATACGACAAGCCAAAAATGAATCCTTCCGTTCATTTTGCACTAGCATAGACAGTGTGACTTCTTCTGCAGAGATGTGGAAGCGCATGAGATGGATCAAAGGGTATAGATCGTCTCCATCGTTTGTTGATCAAGGTAAAGCCGAAACATTGTTGTGTAGTCTGGCCCCCGATTATGTTTCACCACCGACACCTACATTCAATTCTTGTAACGCTCAATTGTGCATACCGGTTTCGATACAGGAAGTAATTAATTCAATTAAAAATACAGATTCAGCCCCGGGTCAAGATAACGTGTCTTATTCTATGATAAAACATTTACCCTACAATGCTAAAGTCATGTTAACCTCCTTATACAATAGATTTTTCTCATCCGGATTCGTACCAGAGCAGTGGAGAAATGTTAAAATCGTTCCTATACCGAAACCGGGTAGTGCCCTAGGCTCAAGTACAAGTGTTAGACCCATTGCTCTCATATCTTGTCTTTGTAAGATATTTCATACCATTATAACACGTAGGCTTGAATGGTTCCTAGAGAAAAATCATTTACTATCTCATGACACTACAGGCTTCCGAAGATCCAAATCCTGTTATGAGGGTCTCTCTAGATTGGTCACACGCATTCAAACTGGATTTTCCAAAAATGTATCCACAGTAGGTTGTTTCATAGACATTGAGAATGCTTATAATAATATAAATCTAACGTCTCTTTTAAACATATTAGATAACATGGGAGTTGGTTCTATCCTTTGTGAATATCTTTGGAGGTATCTTCATCAAAGACACTTATTTATTGAACTGCAACATAACATCTTAGTGTCTCGTATTACCGGCACAGGCATAGCTCAAGGAGATCCCTTGTCCCCCTTACTTTTCAACGCAGCCACAAGTAAAGTTTGTAGAACCATAGATAACGTTAATATCTCACAATACGCTGATGACTTTGTTGTGTATGACATG